GCTTTATTAAAATAATGATATACCATAAGATTTACCCTTTTAAAGTTTATAAATCAGCTGTTTTGTGTACCCACCATCATGATCTACTTCTAGAACATTTTTATTACCCCAAAATGAAATCCATTAGCAGTCTGTATCTCTCAACACTCCCAGCCCCTGGCAACAAGTGTTCAACCAATACATTCTGTCTCTATGATATTACCTATTCTGGACATTTTATGTAAACAGAATCAAACAATACCTGGTCTTTTGTGACTCGTTTTTTAAAAAGATTTAATTTAATTTATTTTTTTAGAGCGAGGGGAAGGGAGGGAGAAAGAGGGAAACATTGATGTGTGAGAAAAACATTGATTGGCCACCTCTCCCACTCCTCTAGCAGGGGACCTGGACTGTAACCTAGGCATGTCCTGTGATTGGGAAGCAAACCAGCAATGTTTCAGTTTGCAGGCCAGCACTCAACCCACTGAGCCACACCAGCCAGGGCATGATTATGTTTCTTTTATTTAACATAATGTTTTCAAGATATCAAGATTTATCTATGTTACATTATCTATGCTACATTAGCATGCACTAGATTTATCTATGTTACATTATCTATGCTACATTAACATGTACCAGAACTTTCTTTTTTCTTTTGAGTATGTGTGTATATATGTAAATAACTTTTTTCTTTTTGGTTCTTTAAAAATATCTAAAATTTCTTTTGTTTCCAGCTTTATTGAGGCATAGTTTACAAACAAAAATTATATATATTTAAGGTGTACAATGTGATCATTTGATATACTTATATGTTGTGAAATGATTATTACAACCAAGCTAATTATACACATCCATCAATTCACATACTCTTTTTGTATGAGGCAAGAACACTTAAGATCTACTGTCTGAGCAAATCTCAAGTATACACATAGTATTAACTACAGTCACTATGGTGTATGTTAGATTCCCAGACTTACTCATCTTGTAACTGAAATAGTCAACAGGTATATGAAAAGGTATTCAGTATTACTAATCATCAGGGAAATGCAAATTACAACCACAATGAGATGTTATCGCATACCTGTTAGAATGTCTATTATCAAAAAGACAAGAGGTAACTAGTGTTGGTGAGAATGTGGAGAAAAGGGAACCCTGGTGTGCTGTAAATTGGTGCACTGTAAATGTAATTGGTACAGCCACTGTGGAAAATAGTATGGTGGTTTCTCAAAAAATTAAAAATAGAACTACTTTATGATTGAGCAATCCTTGGGTATATGTCCAAAGGAAATGAAATTGGGATCTCAAAAAGGTAGCTGCATTCTCCTGTTTACGGCTGCATTATTCAGAATACCCAAGATGGAAAAATAACCTAAGTGTTCATTGACAGATGAATGTATAAAGAAAGTATAGTATATATACACAATGAAATATTATTCATTCATAAAAGAATGAAAACCTCTTATTTGCAACAACATGGATAAACCTAGAGGACATTATTCTAAGTGAAATGAGCCAGGCACAGAAAGACAAATATTTTTTATACGTGGAATCTAAAAAGTTTAATTCATAGAAGCACTGTGGGATGGTGGTTGCTAGGGGCTGAGGGATGGAAGGAAATGGGGAGATGCTACCTGAAGGATAAACAGCTCTCAAGTATGTGCCTGAATTGTGCTGTTTGTTAATATTATGAAGTAATTTTGTTTTTGCCCTCCCTGTGGATGGGTGGGCCTCAATTTTGAGTCTTAGATCTTGTAATAGAAACTCTACCTGTACTTATTACTGTGATTATTTCAGAAGTACCTCTCACCCAGAGTTGCCAGTGGTTAAGGAGGAATTTTCCATTTAATTAGCAATAGAGATGGTTTAGCACTGAGAGGAAGAGAGTGAGAAATTTAAGACCAGCCAGCTCCTGGCTCCTGGAAGAGAGTTGCTGGAAGATTCAGACAAAACACTGGGTCTTGAATCTTCAGTGTCAAGCAATACTGATCCTAGAGCAGTAGATCTAGAACCACACTTAACTTTGAGAGAATAGTCTACTGTTGCCTTAGCTGTAGCTGCTATAACAACAACAACAAAAACACCAAAACCATAGGGTGGGTGGATTAAACAACAGAAATTTATTTCTCATAGCTTTGGAGCCTGGGATATCTAAGATTAAGTTGCTGCATGTTACTGAACAGAAATTGGGGTTCTGCTGCTTGCCACAACCCATGGGCAAATTCCAGAGGCAGAGGTTTGGGAGAAAAGGAAAGAGGTCTTTTATTGAAAAGCTGCACAGTCTGGGAGGATGGCAGGCTCCTTCTTCAAAGCCCTTCCCCTCCAGAGCACCCAGAGGAAAACCCAGCCACCCTCTGCCAGACCAGTCCAAGGCTGTGCCTGGAGTCCCTCTCCCATTCAAAATACTGTTCATCTGGAATTGCAAATGCAGCAGCATGATCATCCAAGCAGTTCAGCTTCTTTCCTCATCACTATAGGATCTCAGGTTCCCCTCTTTTCAGACCCACCAAGGGCCACAAGTCTTCTGGGACCAGCCGATCTAAAAACGGTTCAGCCCACTTCAGGCCACATAGTGGATACCAAAGGAAGAGTGCGTTTCTCCCTTCCTTTGGTTTAAATCTCCCAGCCCAAGCTTTTCTGCACTCTGGGAGGGTTCTGCTTCCCCAACCTATCCATCCTTTTCTCAGGCTAGACTGACAGGACAGTGTCTCCCCTTGCCACCACATTGACCTATATGGTACACGTGCAGCTGCCCCCTGGTCCCACCCACATCCACGGAGGGAAAGGGATAGGGGGCTTTTCCCTCTGTCAATAACTCTTGTTAGCCTCTACATGCTCAGCTGCAGGACTTCAGATAGTGTTTGCTTGGTTACCAGGGCAGTAAAGCTGCCCCTGCCTCAGCGCAGATCCCCTCCCTTGCTGCCTCTCTGCTCCAGCCTGTCAAGCCACTGGTATTAGGCATGGTCAGGTTTTAGAGAGGGTCCTCTTCTTCATTTGCTGATGGCCATCTTCTTGCTGTGTCCTCACATGGTAGAAGAGAGCGAGCTCTAGTCTCTTTTCCTTATAAAGACACTAATCCCATTGTCAGGGAATGTACCCTCATAGCCTCATCTAAACCTAATTACCTACTAAAGGCTCTACTTCCTAACACCATTACATCTGCCATTGGAGGTTACTATTTCAACATAAGAATGTGGAGGGGGAGGGAGACACAAACATGCAGTCCATATGGCTACTTGTAAACTCCTTTTTTATGTTGTGACTCTTTGATATGCCAGCCTGTCTTCTTTGCAGGAACTTAGCTGCTTGAGGGATGGCATGGGAACGGGGGTACCTTGAATCCATTTCTCCTAGTGCATTCAGTTAAAGTCTGTTGGGGAAAAAAAGCCAATCAGCAAGTCTGGACTTGTATTCATTAGTAGGAATTCTTCAAGTTGTCCCAGAAAACTGCTTTTGTTTAAACATACTGTGCACACTTAAAAAATATACTTAGACTAGATGGATATTATTTTAATGAAAAAAAAAAGTTGGTTTCAGCGTTTGATGGCATGCATTCTCTCACAACCCAGTAATTTAAGACAATAATAACAAAATACATCCTGCCTAGCTTTATAAATATTTCAATGGATTATCCATCCATTTTTTAATTCAACACTGTTTAACATGTAAAGGATCACTCAAAAGTAGAATAACAAAATATTTCAAAAAGACAAGTTGAAAAAGTAGTGATCATAGAATGAAAGACCATCTAACTCTCTGGGGCATAGTCTAAGGACATGTTGAAGGTTCACTGCCTTAGATGGAAAAAAAAATATTTTGAGAAGACCACAATTAAAAGTAGTGTATATAGTTTTTATTCTTTACAGAAATATGCAAATACACCCCAAATTAAATTGCTTTTAACTTCAATGTCTGTTATGGCAGAAACCCCATTTTCCAGTTCAATGGCATATTCCTCAGGTCGAGAAACATTACAGACAAAATGACATTTGAAAAGGGTATTTGAAAATTTTTTATTATTTAAAGTTTCATTATACTACATTTCCTAAAAGCAGTATCACTTCATGCAACTTACACTTGCATAACATAGGCTGGAATAGCAAAGCACTACGGAGATGAACCTGGAAGAAGCCCTTGGGTGAGGCTCAGACTGAGCCCAAATTAATAGCATCCAAAGTTGTTTCCACAGGAAGAACTTTGTTCTCTGTGAATTTTAGTGAAAAAAGAATAATTTAATGACATTATCTCTTTATTAGAAAGCCAAACATCTTCCTGTGCCTTGGACAGTACCTTAAGCTACAGTATTTTCGAAGCACTCCATTCCCATCATTTATATTCCTAGTGATGTGGGCTCAAGAACCCAGTCTTAAAAATGGCGGGAACCGAGGCTCTAAGGGTGTAAAAGTGACCTCTTAAGGATTACATGGGCAAGGAGGTGACTAGTGCTTTTCATATCAGGAGGTAAGGCGGTGTCTCTGCCCAGTTAGCATGCTCTTTAGCGATAAGGCTTTTCGATTTTAAGAAAAATCAGACTGTAAGAAAATCAGCAAGTTGATAGCAGGTGACTGTGTCTACGACATTTAACTAGCAAAACTCATCTCCTGGTGGCACGTCCCCCCCAAAAGGACAATGAAGGCTGAGTTTAGTGAGGCTGGTGTTGAGCAATGGCAACTGGGTCAGCGACCTACCTCGGCAGGAATTCCTTCCTCCACCCGAGCCCGACATTCCCTGCCACTGCTTGGTGGTAGGGTGATAAAATGTAGTGGCTCAGTCATGGAACCCCTCCACCCCACCCCCGAAGTGGTGCTGGGGCCAGTTTTGCGCCCCAGCTCTTCTTTAGAATTTGAATTGGCAGTGTTTTAACCCTGCCGCCTGTAGGTTAGAAGAACATCCCTCCTTTCCCAGGCTTCAACCAAAGTTGCACTTCCCAAGGAGCCGGGGCGCTGCTCGGCTCTTGATTGCTCGTGCCTGGCGGCGGAGGGAGGCACTCAAAGTGACTGGAGCTCTGTGTTCTACGTGTCGGGTCTGGCTCGCACAGTCCGCGACGCACGCTGGGTCGTCGCTCCGGAGCCCCGTGGGGGTGGTCGAGGGCGGCCGAGGTGGCCCGCGCGGGGATGTCGAGGAGCTCGAAGCTGGTGCTGGGCCTCTCGGTGGTGCTGACGGTGGCCACTGTGGCCGGCGTGCATCTGAAGCAGCGACAGGACCAGCAGGTCGGTGTCACGTGATGGTCTGTTCCGGGCCTTGCGCGGTGGTGGTCCCGGTCTCTCCGCCTGGTTTCTCGCTAGTCCTGATATTTCCTTCTCTTTCTTTTCCTCCACTGCGACGAGGCCCGGCACCCTCACGTTTTGGCTACTGCGGGTTAGGCCCTGGGTGCTGCAGCTCCCAGGCCGCGTGCGTCCTGGAGACACAGGCCACCCTCACCAGGCCGGCTCCCGGGAGCCCGGCTCTCCTAGCTGAACTTGCGAGGTTCCCTCGAACGCACGCCTGTGGGGTGGTCAGCGGTCCCGTTTTCAAGTCACAGCCACCCTGTCGTGTTACGACCCTCCAGAATGTTAGTGAGATCGCAGAAAAGTGGAGGAGGGGAAGGGATTTCCTTGGGGTACTTTCAGCGGGATACCGGCCTCTCCACCCCCAGGCCCAAGGTTAGGTCTTACTGCAGTTAAATGCTAGTAAGACTTTACCCTGTGGTAAAGAAGCACCGATCACTTTCCTTAGTGCCTGTGGCCAAGGTAATTTGGTGAGATGCCTGTATGTTGTTTTTTCATTGCAGGGGGGTGGAATTTAAGGAGTCGGTTGCTATGAAAACTAGATTCTGGGGACGTTAGCGATACCAGCCTCCAAATTATCTTTTTTTAAGGTACTTTTATTTCTGGAAACAAGACTTACTAATCAGTGGAATGACGGGCCGTTTTGTGTTTCTCGGCCCATATTTTTTTTCTTATTCAAGTTAGCAAACATTTAATGATTGATCACTATGTGCCTGGCACCATACCAGGCACTTTTGGGGACTAAAGATAAGGAAGCATACTGTTGCTGAGACTGATTCAAAACTGTGCTGCATGTTGAGTGTGAGAACGGGAACTAGGTCGTTGGTGAACAGTTAGAGAACACCTTGGTGCAGTTATTGGTTGAGCTTAGTTTGCCTAAGCTGGAAGTAATCAGTAGCAAGAAAGTCTTTGCTATTGCGTTGACTTTCTTGCATTGACTGTGCTACGTGCTCTCTAAACAGATGTGAAGCGGATGAGGTCTTTGTCCTCCATGTTCACAGTCCAAGGAAATCCAGAAGAGAGGAAGCCTGTAAAAATACAAGAATTCTCGGGAGAGAGGGAAGGGATGATTAATGATGAAAGGCATGGAAGAGACTAGAGATTTGGGTTTCTAAGAGGGTAGATTTTGTAACAGAGGCAGGAATATGGTTATGTGAGATATAGTTCTGAGGTCAGTGAACAGGGAATATTGAAGAGTGCCAGGTAAAGCTGAGTTATTGGAGCTTGGTTCTGAAACCTAGCTACACACTCGATGTTCCTGCCAAGTTTTTACAATGCAACTGAGGCTGGGCACTACTCCAGTCCTGTTAAATCAGAATCTCTTGGGGATGGGGATCACGCTTATGTATGTTTTAAAAGTGACCCAGGGGATTCTCAGCCAGGTTTGAGAACCACTGTGTTGGAGGGTTGAAGAACAGGAAGATTAAGATATTTGGAAGTTAGAGATGAAGAAAAGATGACCGGAATAACTTGTGTTTATCTTATATTCAGTTATTCATTGTGGGCTTACTTTCTAACAGTGAGAAAGAGTTGGCCAAATGATTGATGGGGTGGGTATGTAGGAGGATTCAAGGGAAGCAAGACATGATGACTTGTTTCTTCACAGTCTACTATGTACCACGTGCTGCACTAAGAACTTGACATACATCATCTTTAATCCTCACAGGAACCCAGCAAAGCAGGTAATACTTACATGAGGAGCCAGAGTTCTAGGTGTTAGAATTGGAATAATGAAGAGGTCTTAGTCACTGGTAGGGCAGTAAAGTACACATCAGAAGAAAGATGTTGGAGGCAGTCAACATAGACATTGAAACTTAGAGGAAGATAGCAAATGATGTATGGAGAGCAAGATCCTAAGTATATGCTAAAGTCTGAAAAGGCAGGGTACGATCTCAGGCAGGTGCAGAATGATTCCAGTGGAAGGTGTGGGCTTTAGGGGTTAGAGTGGGTGTGTGGGTATGTAGTGGTGTGAGGAGCACTAGATAGGAAGAATTGGGGAGGGAGGAGTGGAATGAGTACTTCCACTTCTGTTTCTGGAAGTCTGGCCAAGGGTTCAGGGATCAAGAAAATTGGTTTTCAGTTGATTTATTAGTCTTAATGACTCTTTATTCCCCCATAATATGGAGTGAAGTTCTAGGGCTGGAGGAGGTCCAGCAGGTAGATACTTGTTGAATCTTTCAAATAGACATAATAATAAGTGATGCATGCCCATCTGCCTGCGGTGAGCACGGAACGCTGTGGATGGTTTGTCGAAACAGGAGAAAAACATAACACCGAGACAACTAGGTCCTGTGGGGGAATAGGAACAGAAGGGCCACTCCTCACGTGGGGAGCGCCTTGGCCACCCTCTCTCTTGGAGGGTGCCACTTGGCCACCCTTTCTCCTGGAGGGCACCATAGCGCCTCATCCTCCTGCACAAGCAGGGTTTTATTCTTGAATACCAATACAGTTTGCAAATTACACGTAGTTAGCTTTTGAAAGGTGCTGGCAGATTTCCTACTGGGATCCCAAGCCAGAGATTTGGGGGTTTTATTTAAAAAGACTACAGGACTTAAAGCTTAGTTCTGTTTCATGCCCGTGAGTTCATATTCTAATTAAAGAGCATCCTCCAGCAAGCAGATTTCACAGTGTCTTTCGTATTCTATGTCTTAGGCCTGATTACCCCTGGAGCTGTTTGTTTCTGATCTGGGCTGTTTGGCCCCTGCAGGCCTGAGAAGACAAAGGCAGCCAGGAGACTTGGATTTCTCACATCCAAGAACAAAAACTCAGGCTTTGGCCAAATTGGTGATTGATATCGATTACCCGGTTATTTCCACAGCCCCACAAGTCTTGTCCCTGTCATTCCTTTGTGAATGTGTCTGTCTTAGGTTCATTCTCTATCCAAGAGAATTGTTACCCGTCATTGACTGCCGTTCAAGCATGAAAAGGAATGAGGCATATGAACAGGCAGTGTTCATGCCAGGGAAATAAGTTTTGTCTCCTTCGTGGCTCCTGGTCTGGAGGTCTTTCACTCAGCCTAAGTCATGGGGGGTTACAGCTTCCTGAGACCAGGCAGGGCAGTCCTCAACAAATAACTATTAAAATATTCAGACCCTGGGACCTGTCTCCATCAATTCTGCCTTACAAAACTTGTTAAAAACTTATTAGAGCATTTTGTGACTTGTAATGATAAAATGTTGGTCATGACTGGATTGATGCTTTAAAAAGTCTCCTCTTAGGTGCTAGGTCCATGTTCTGGAATTTTCTACCTTTCTTTAGTGCTTAACAAAATAACTACATTGATGGGTCTTTATTTTTTCTTTTGTTAGTAGCATTTTTTTCCTTCTCTCTCTGTTTTGTAATTGACTAATAATATTATATAATTTTAATTTTGTCTCATATATTAGAAGCTAGGTTTTCAGCACCTTACAGCTTGCTTGTTCATATTTTAGTAATCTCTTTTTCATTGATATTTATTCAACTAGAATAAAAAGTATTTCAAAGAATTACTGTAGTAATCCTTACCAAATTTTTAAGTGTCACATATCAAGTAAACTTTTAAAATTCAACACAGTAGCAGGTTTTTTTTCTTTTTTAATTGTTATTTCCAATTAAATGTTCTACACTGAATATTCAGGAGTTTCTTAAAATATTTGATAAGTAGTCATTTAAGTGATAATAACATGATAGTACATTACCAGATTAATTTGATGTTTTCTTTATTGCATTTTACATTTATGCAGAAAGTTAAAATAGAGTCTGGAAGTTTTAAGTGTATTTTGGTAATGCTGTTATTTGGATTTGAATGGCACAGAGATGGGAACCACCTGTTCAGGGTGTTACTGAAATCTGTTTTTTACATTTTTAGAGGCTTCGTGACGGAGTGATCAGAGACATTGAGAGGCAAAATCGGAAAAAAGAAAACATTCGTCTTTTGGGAGAACAGATTATTTTGACTGAGCAACTTGAAGCAGAAAGAGAGAAGACATTGGCAAAGGATCTCAAAAAGCATGACTTGAAATGAATGTGAAATATTGGTGGGACAAGTAGTGTTGAATGTGTGTGTTCGTGAGTGTTGATGGAGAATAGCTTAGTGAGATCTTCCTCCTTTTTTTGGTCACTGTTCTTTTAAACTCAATCAAGTACAAGGACAATGGATTATGTAATCTAAATTATTGCTTTAGAAGTTCATTATATCTGAGTAGAGAAGTGGGCACTCTTCTGAAGTCTGTGTAGTCCTGATAAAAGTCCCTTTAAGTGTGGTGTCCAGAGTTTACGATTGTTATAAAAAGCACTTCTGACCCTGTGAGAAAAAAGGGATGGATAGTAACATCCACCTGAGTAGTTTGATAAGTCGCCATGATGATGAAGCCACAAGAACATCTACCTCAGAAGGACTGGAGGAGGGTGAAGTAGAGGGGGAAACTCTCCTGATTGTTGAATCAGAGGACCAGGCATCAGTAGACTTGTCTCATGATCAGAGTGGGGATTCCCTCAACAGTGATGAAGGAGATGTATCCTGGATGGAGGAGCAGCTGTCCTACTTCTGTGACAAATGCCAAAAATGGATACCAGCCAGTAAGGAGCTTCTCGATTCCTTTGGTTTGTCGGTTTCTGTGTGGTTGGTTTTTTTACCCTATGAAAGAACATGAATGTAAAATAGACCTAAATAAAAAGATAATTATTATATTTATTTTTAGTTTAACTAAATTTATATAAAACGCACATTTATACTAATAAAAACTGTCAACATCTATCAAGTTGTTAAATTAATGTTCTTTATGGTAATTCAATAAAGATTAGAAAATTGTAAATTCTGTGTTCCTTAAAGAATTAGCCAGATTTTTCCAACAAGGCTATGTTAAGAATTTGAATCCAAATTCTAGGCCCAGTGTAGAATTAAAGTTCAAGTTAATAACAATTACTCTTAATATTTACCTTAATGGAAAACTCCTGCTATTGTATGCTGAAGTAAGGCTAGAATTAGCAGAGTAAACGTGTTTTGTCCTTTTTTTCTAGGACTATTCTTGTTTTCTACTTGTTGGCCTCTGATCTGCTGGCAATAGATATATACACACATGCTTCCCTGATACTTTAGTTTTTCAGCTCAGTCTTTTCAACTGCTAGCTTCCTAGTTCTTTAGGAAGAGTATACTTTGCCAGTCATCATGAGTCTTTACCAAAAAAAAAGGGGGTTTTGTATTAGGTGGAGAACAGTAAAGATGTATATACTAGAGGAATTCTTTGTGTAATGGACTTTGTAACTAGGTCAGAGAAGAAAAATTTTTGTATGTAATTGTAAAGTAGGGCATTTTCTAGTGTGTAGAAATGTTTTAAAGACTCATCTATTCAGGTAACAGTTACTACTAATACATAACTTTTCACAGAAAACAAACCTAGAATTTATTATATCTTAGGTAATTTTTACTTAAGAGCTCTTTCTGCTTATTAGTTCAAGATCCTGCCTAAAGATCTCAGTGGCTTTCCCCCTGTTTTCACAGGATACATTTTCAACTGCACTTTATGATTGTGCCCTTGCTACTTTAGCCTCTCTCTTTAGATTCCTCTTATCCTCGCACATAAAGAGAACTTTCTGTTACGGTGAGCTTTTATTGGGTTGGCCAAAAAGTTCATTTAGTTTTTTCTGTAAGACGGTTCTAGTTGTGCTTAGATGTCTTTAACTTCATTTGAAACAATTTGATTGTATTATGACATTCAGCTGTCATATCAGTGTGCATTAAAAAAACATGAAAATTTGTGTAGCCATTTTAATGCTGAAGATGGAAGAAAATAAGCAACATTTTTGGCATGTTATGCTTTATTATTTCAAGAAAGGTAAGAACACAACTGAAATGCAAAAGTAAAAGATTTGTGCAATGTATGGAGGACCAAAAGTGGTTTGTGAAATTTCTTGGTACCGTTGACATTTTGGCCAAACAATTCTTTGCTGTGGAACTGTTTTATGCATTGGAACATGTTTAGCAGCTTCTACTAAACATGGCCTCTACTCACTAGACACCAATAGTGGGAGATAGCTGACATACTCAAAATATCCAAATCAATAAAGTTATTGGTGAAGATGAAAACGTGTCTTCTATTTGTGGAAAAAACTAAATGGACTTTTTGGCCAATCCAATCATTCTCTACAAACAAGTCTTTTTTATCCTTAGGAACTTAGCAAATTTTAATTTCCTTTCTGGAACATGCATCGCTATAGCCTCCAATGCCCGCATACACAAGCATCTCTGTTCCCCTGGCCAATTCTAATCATCTTGTAGAACTCACTTTTTCTAGCTCTCCTATCTTTCCAATGTGGGTTATGCATCCCTTTTATGTGCCCTCACATTGCCCTTAGCACCACAGTGATTTTTGTGTCTTCATAGAGTATGTGCCACCTGGGAACTTTAAAAAATGCAAACCCAGGCCGGGCTTCCGAGACTGATTCATTTCATGTGGGGTGGGCCAATGCATGTTAAAAACAAAACCCAAAATCCTCCCTAGGTGATTCTGATATACGGTGAGGATGGAGAACTGTGCTGTTGTGATTACCTATTTCCTCATGTGTCTCTTACAGAATTTAAGCTACTGAGAACAGTTACTATCTATACCTGCTTTGGGCAGAGTAGTTCCAGTGCCTAGCCTAGTGCCTGATACTTCAGTGGGTGGACAGATATTGTTTGAATGTGTAAAGAGACCTATAGGAGTCAGGAATGTTAGTAGCTGGAAAATCCAGTGAGCAACAAGTGAGCCTTGCCTAGTATCTTTCTCCTAAAAGTAAAGGAACCAGTGATCTTAAGTTGGGCACACACTTGATGTTGGAAGAATACAAATCTTTCTACTCCCTTCCCTGCCTCCTATTGTGGACTGGCTGTGGGGGGGTGGGGTGGGGAGGAGAAAAACAGCATAGGAAACTTGGAAAATCTGGTTGATAAAAACTAAACATTTGGGTTACCACAGCTCTATGATAAACGTTTTTGTTTTTCTCCTAGGTCAGCTGAGGGAACAGCTCAGTTACCTTAAGGGTGATAATTTTTTTAGGTTTACTTGTTCGGATTGCTCAGAAGATGGCAAAGAGCAGTATGAAAGGCTGAAGCTAACATGGCAGCAAGTGAGTAAAAGGCTCTTCTGTATAATTCATGAGCTTGGTCCCCCAAGGAATTTATTGGAATGTATGGAGAAAGGAACTTCTGTGAGCTTTTGAGCTGTTTTGAGCATCACTTTTTATTTACCCATGAAAATTATGTACTGAATGTGTGGAGAAAGTTCTTGGTACTCAGTGCTAACTTCGTGAATTGGGTTTGAGGTTCTTGAAAACACACGATTTCATTTTTTTAAAAGATTTTATTTGTTTTTAGAGAAGGAAGGGAGGAAGAGAGGAAGAGAAACACCTGTGTGAGAAACACATTTGGTTCACTCTCATATGCGCCCCAACCAGGGACTGAACCTGTAACCCAGGCATGTGTCCTGACTGGGAATCCAACTACCAACCTTTCCTTTGCAGGATGATAGCCAACCAACTGAGTCACACTGATCAAGGCACAGTTTCATTTTTATGTAATACCAAACTCTGACTTTCATTGAAAATTAAGTTCACATTTTTCTGGCAGCCTTTTTTGGAAAAATGAAACCATTTTTAAAAATGGAAAGATGGCCCATTGGAAATAGATTAGGAAGACATAAGGTGGTTGATTGTAGAAACCAACACAGTCCAGCTTTTCTGCATTTGAACTCAAACATGTTTAAATATTTTTTGCTTGATGAATACTTATGTCCACTTTTAGTCACCTTGAATACCAGTACCATAATCCAGCTTAGTCTGATTGAGATAGCCTTATCGTATAGCCTGAGCGATAACTTTTTATTGATCTTCGGTTGTATTAATTTTTTTGGTTTTGTTTTTATATTAATATGTCTATAGTAAGGATAATGTATATACAGTGTTTAAGTTCTAAAAAGGAACACATTATACGTATTCAATTTTATGTTTGTTGATTCAACAAATGTTGAGTACCTGTAATGAACCAGGCACTGTTCTAGGCCTGGAGGCTACTGTGATGAACTTGCACAGCTAAGACCCCTGCCCCATGCAGTGACATTCTAGACATTTATTTTAGATTGTAAGTGTACAACTAAGTTAGTTACCCATTGCACTTTTTTGCTATGAAGGAAATAAAACAGGGTAATGAGAAAAGATTGTATATTATACCATCTAAGCCACTTTAGGTGTTCCTTGCAAATCGTAGTTGCTTTAGCAGCCTTAGATTTATCTTAATTATCAGCTTTATTAGGACATCTAATGAAATCTGTCAGTGGTGAATGGAAGGAGTCTTTGACTTGTCTGAAAATATATGAGTAGAAAGTGAAGTTTGTATTGAGGATATAGTCTCATGAATGTTGTAATTCCAATATTTTTCTCAAAGAGCACATGCAACCTACTCTAGGCAGGGTCAGTTTAATGTTAATAGATTATTCTGATGTGTGCACATGTAGGCAGATTTGCACTTAGCTTGCAAGTAGCTTCTCAAAAGCTGTAAAATGGAAGAGCAAATATATGTATTTTGTTATTTTCAGGAATATGAGTATTCTCTGAAGGTTCTTTTTAAAAGAAAAACTAGTTTTTGATTGTATTGCTCAGAATATACGATTGGCTCAATTTGCACATTTAATTAGACTAATAACACTTGGAAATTATTTCTTTTACTTCCAAAGACACATTGGTGGTGGATAATACTGGTGTGATGAAATGATAACTTCCATCAGGTGCATCTGGTTCTTGGCAAGCTGTTGACCAGTGTTTCTCGTTGCATCTTAAAAACTCAGTCTGTCATCAAAGAGCTGACAGACACTCAGTTGGTCTTGAATAAATTTCATTGGAATGTCGGAATTGGAATGTTCATTGGAATGTTTTAAAATCTTAAACTTTGTATTTGTTGCTTTATCAAAGTAATAAATGGAAATGCTTGCTTGTATTACTGAATACCAACAGTGAAAAGGTCTGGTCTCCTGACTAAAAGGCCTCTTTCTTCCACAGCCTCCTTTTATCTTCTGTCTTCCTCTTTGGTGGCTTGTGAACAAAAAGTTTGAAATGCAGGAGAATCTTTATCATGTGTTTGGGAAGGACAGTGTAGTTTTTACATTCTTGTCCTGGACAGTCATTCTTACTTTACAAGGAAAGAAAGATACCATGATTGTTTTTCAAGATACTTGTGTCTGCTGTGTCTGTGCCAACCCCGAACTAGGCCCTGGGGATACACTGGTTCACAAGGCTGGCCTGTTACTGATGAGTATGTCTAATCATGTGAGCAGAAAACTAAACTGGGATGCATTCTTTTAGATTATGAATTCCAGGAGAGGAGGAAAACCATGTCCTTTATATATTGAGCTTGTAATTTTCCTCAGTAAGTATTGTGATAATAGGTAAAGTTATTTTCATGTACATTTGAATTTTTAACTTTTTAAAGTAATGAAATGTTTCAAATATAAAAAAAATAGATTGGAAATAAATTAACAGACACTTATGTATCTGCCACTGAAATTAACAGTGAATTATGTTTCTGAGGTACTGTAGGAGTGAGTGGGCAGAAGTTCGCTTCATTCTTTCCTTAAAGTACTTCTTGAAAAATAACTTTTAAAAATTGTGGTAATAAGCCCTGCCTGGTATGGCTCAATGGATTGAGCACCGGCCTGTGAAACAAAACAAATAAAAATTGTGGTAATATATACCCACCATAAAAGCTTACAATTTTGAGCATTTTTAAGCATACAGTTCAGTGGAATAAAGTGTGTTTACATTGTTTGGCAACTATCACCACCATCCATTTCCAGAACTTTCTTAGCTTCCCAAACTGAAACTCCATATCCATTAAACAGTAACTCCCCATGAACAATAACTGCTCAAAGGAAGATGATTGTTGGTTAATGTAGACCTGATGCAAAAATAAGTGAAAGAATTTGAAAAATCTGTTCACGGGGTTATTTGTTAGGCTGTCCAAAAGTTTTGTAAAGTTAAGGATGGGGGGAATTGAAACTCAGTTTGGAAGCATCAGAATTGCCTTGGGTCATAGACACTCTCATGGGACTATTGGGAGTTAAAGCTGTGGACCCAAACATTGGGGGGATGAATTAAATAAACTTTAATAGACTTCTTTATAGCTTCAGGATCCTCCTTATGGAAATAAATTCTATACTAAGAATATTCTAATATTATCCTTCCTTTCTCCCCTCCATTCTCCAGCATTACTACCTAGAATATAAAACATATTCCACCCCCCTACAGATTAACACCCTTAATCATGCCTCTCTCCCATCCCTTGTTTACTTTGTGTTTCAGGTTGTCATGTTGGCAATGTACAACTTGTCTCTGGAAGGAAGTGGACGTCAAGGTTATTTCAGGTGGAAAGAGGATATCTGCGCTTTTATTGAGAAACATTGGACTTTTTTACTAGGGAATAGGTAATGTGATTTTTAAAAAGTCTTTTACTTGAACAAAGATGTGAAGAACAAAGAATATTTGAGACAGCTTGAGACAGCCTAATACAGCCCTCTACAGCAGTAATTTTGAACTTTTTTCATCTTATAGAACACATAAACTAATTCTAAATTCTGCAGCACACACAAAAATAAATTTTTTGCTGACCTGACCAAAAACATAGGCATAATTTGATTCATTCATACTGGATGGCTATTGTTGTGTTGCTGTTGTTATTTATTTTTATTTGACAGTCTAAGGGAAAAGAGGTCAGTAAAAATGGTCAGGTACTATGTGTTTTAAAAATTGTTATGGCACACCAGTTAAAAATTGCTGCTCTGGAGAATTAGAATACATGTTTGCTTGTGGCAGTTACAGACAATTTTGTAAGTCAGAAAATGTCCTTATGGGAAGATCGGAAGAAAAATAATGACAATTATTGACTGTACCCATTAATATTGCTCTTCATTAATAGAGACTTGTTAGTATTTGTTTTATTAACTGGGAGAACAGTTTTATAATTTTGGTATTACAGTGCTTAGCAAAGTCTAGGTACATTAGTACACATATGGCTTATTCATTCATTCTTTTCGTAATAATGCTTTAAATTTGCTGCTGAGTGTACTCCTCCTTGGTGGCTACTTAGGTTCATCAGACTTAGGGATGCCAGTGCACAGACATTGAGACCATGTGTTTTAACTAAATGAATGTGTGGACCTAATAAGATCTTTATTGCTATTTAGGAATTAGTGAGTTTGCAACTGCATTTGTGAATTCTGTTTGAGGTTCTGATTGTTAACTGCCATCTGAAGTCGTGTGTGAAATTCATAAATATTGCATATTGGGTCAGTGTAGATGAGATAAAGGCTCTGATCACATCATGTCAGAGCTGGGAGTTTGTACGTGTCCTCACTCTGAACTCACTGCAGCCTCTATTTCCTCCAGTGCTGAGAAGTCATAGTTCTGCTGATGTTCCTGGGAATTCAGGGAAGACATTTGTAAGGAGGGATGACCTTCTAGAGGCTTGCTATGAGTTAAAAATAGAATAGATTCAGTACATTTTTACTAAAGGAGTCATTTTTGTTCTGGAGTATTTTAGTGGTACTAAGGAAAGAATTGACAGTATAACTCGTTCTTTTTCTCAAAGAAAGGAAATCTGTTGTCTTAGTTGAATGATTTAGCACTATTTGTGGAACTCAATAGATCCCATTTATAAGGGACAAGAAAGGGAAAAAAACTGATAAAATTAGATCTTGGAATGTTTTCATAATCTCTTAGTGCTGTTCTGTTTAATGGATTGTCTTCTGGAAGAAATTGGATTTAAATTGACTATTGTTAAGGATATTGCCTTTCTTTTAACAGAACTTGTTCGGTTTCACTTGTTCATTTCTACAGCCTGTTCTTTTTAAATATGTCTGAAAGGCATTAATTACTTTCCAGTTGCTATATAGTTTAACCACTAGACTAGTGGTGTTGGCCATAATAATGCATCCCTTGAATTATTATATAGTTATTTAAATCAAGTCACTTAAAAATGCATTTATTTTATAAAAAAAAACTTCACACCAAGTTGGGAAGTGAAAAACTCCTATCATTTGTCATAAATAGAATGAAACTATAAAAATAAATGCACTAGAAATAAAATGCCATTAAGTTGTAGGCCCATGAGACCCACTTTCTTCATCAAAAGGGGAGAATACATATGTTAGAATTTCAAACAACAAAGTTACTCCTTGTTCTAACCAGAAGGAGTGAAAGAGAATTAAAATTTACTCTGTGATTCTTTGTTACTCGGTTTTCTGACCAGTGCTAACCTTTATTTTGGAACTCTGCTTTAAACTCAGTGATTGGGAGGTCACCTGAAACTGCTCCTTGATCGAGTCACCACGGGCTCTGTTGTCTCTGTATGAACATACACAGAATCACTATACCCGAGAGAACCAGGCTGAAAAAACATTTGCAGTCAAACTTTTTTCATAGCTAATAAAGATTTGAATTCTCCTATTCATAGAACATGTTTTAGTTCTTAACAGTAGTAACCATTTCTTATTTGCTATAAAAGGTAGGAGAATAGCATACTGTGTAATGAAGTTCTAAATTTGAATACATTTTCTTTCAGATACTTATAGATTTTGCTTTTGTGCCTTTAATATTGTTTACTTTTTATTTATATTTTATTGATTATGCTATAACAGTTGTCTTGATTTTTCTCCCGTTGCACCCTTCCACCAAGTGGCCCTTGTTCCCTCAGGCAATCCTCCTACCATTGTTCATGTCCATTGGTCATGTGTATAATTTCTTTGGGTACTGCATTTCTTATACTATACTTCACATCCTCATGGCTATTCTGTAACTACCTATTTGTACTTCTTAATTCCCTCACTTCTTCACCCATTCTCTTCCTTGTCCCTCCCATCTGGCAACCTCCTGATGACTAACTTCTTTTCTCTTGCTTTTAAGAGTCTCTCTTTATCTTTAACCTTCGGCCTTTTAATAATGATATGTCTTGGAGTGGGCCTCTTTACATCCATCATAATTGGGACTCTTGCGCTTCTTGGACTTGCATGTCTATTTCCTTCACCAATTAGGGAAGTTTTCTTTCACTATTTTTTCGGAAAGATTCCCAATTTCTTACTCTTTCTCTTCTCTTCTGGCATAGCTATGAGGAGAATGTTGGACCAGAGGCTGTTTCACACTATCCTCATTTTTTTTAATTCTTTTTTTCTTCTTGTTGTTCCAATAGTTGTTTTTTGCCTCCTTATGTTCCAAATCATTGATTTGATTCTTGGCTTCATTCTACTGTTGTTTCCCTGTAAATTGATCTTTATTTCAATTAGTGTATCATTTGTTTCTGACTGGGTTTTTTTTTAAATTCTCCTGAGGTCCTCACTAAGTTTCTTGAGCATCGTTAAAAACAGTGTTTTGAACTCTTCATCTAGTAGATTGCTTGTCTCCATTTTGTTTAGCTCTTTTTCTGGAGTTTTGATCTGTTCTTTCATTTGGGCCATGTTTCCTTATTTCTTCGTCTTTGCAGCCTCCCTGTGTTTGTTTCTATGTATTAGGTAGAGCTCTTTTGACTCTGTGTCTTGGTAGTGTGGCCTAATGTATGGTGGCCTGTTGGGTACAGTGGCACAGCCTCCCCTTTGTCCAGGTTGGGTATTCGAAGTGTGCCCTTTGTGTGGGCTGAGAACACACTCCTCTTGTATTTGAGCCTTGGTCGCTGTTGGGAGATCAATGGGAGGAACTGACCCAGGCCAGTCAGCTGCAAAGACTGGCTGTGACCATGGACCACCAACCCCTGCCCTCGATGGGGCGTCAGATGTGTAGGGACAGGATGGTGGTGAGGATCTGACATGGTCTGTAGCTGTCCACTGGGTGTGTTGGTCCTGGGATATCCCAGGTGGCACAGCCTAAGGTCAGCCTCTACCTGTGTTTTGTCTGGGGCATCCTGTCTGAACTGTAAAGCAGTCTGAGATGGCTCCTACATGTGCTGGCCTTGGAGATTCCCAGGTGTAGCCAAGCTGTGCCTCTAATCTGACTGCCACTAGGGCTCATGGAAGCCAGCTGTTGCTTGTTTGATAGGATTTGGGAGCCAAGACCAGCCATTCTTATAGAAAAGTAGCTTGGGTAGAGCCTCTCTGGATCTCCAAGGTGGGTCACACAATGTTAGCCAGGTTGATAGAATCTCAGATATGGTACCAGCTTACCGGCTTTGTGGAGTTAGGACTCAGTAAAGGGACAATGACTTCTGCTCATCCTGATGCCACACTTCAGTCTCTCCCTGTATACCACTGGTGCCTTTCAAGCTGCCACCTTGGTGCTGGGGTTCAGAGGAAGCAAGTCTGAGTAGGTAAGTCTGTGTGTGGTTCCCCAAGATGAACTGCTCTGAGATCCAGTTGCCTCCTCCACCTGCTGTTTTTCGCAGCCAGGAGATGTGGGGACTTACCGTCCTGGCACTGGAATCCTGGGCTGGGGCTGCTGGTGTGTGTCTGGGACTCCTTGCTCCTGAGATACCCCTTCCGAAATTTTATCCACGTGGGTGTGGGGCTAGCCTGTTTCACTTCTGTGCCCCTCCTAACAGTTTGGATGGATGTAGTTTCTTCATTTCTGTAGTTGTCAGACTTCCATTCAACTTGATTTCTGACATTCCTAAGTGATGGTTCTTCTATATTTGAATTGTAATTTTGATGTGGCTATGCAAAGAGGTGAGTCACACCTGCCTATGTCACTATCTTGATTGGAAGCTGCCTTTAATTTTTATTTAGTTTAAGTGTGTAAAGGATTATTTAGGGATAATCTAAATAACTATATGTACCTATTATAGAAATAAATTAAAAAATATACAGAAGCTTTATTAATTACCACAGTTTAATTGCCATTGTGTGTGTGCTCATTTAATTTGCTCGTACAATCTCAGCCTTGAATTCTTCCAGAAGGAGTACCTTTGATTAGTGAAGAATAGTCTGAATAGCTTATTCTTTATTGATTTTAAGGTGCACAATATTTCAGATTTTTATTTCTCTGACAGCTGGATATATCTTACAAGTGATGGTGTGTCAAAATTTGATAGTTTTCTTATATATAAATGATATATTTTAAAATTAGAAGGTCTTATATTTGATGAAATATGAAACAACACATTCATAGTATTTAAAATTCAAAAAGTTATATGAAGATTCTAGGGAGATGGCAGAGTAGCAAGCACCAGAAATTTGTCTCCCTACCTAGACAGTAATTACAACTGGAGAATCTGTCTGATGTAACTCCAAAAATGGGGTTTTTGGAGTCTGTTGAAGGTTTTCAAATTTCAGGGGAAGGTTTGGATAGTAAATTGCTCTTAATTTCAGTTTCAACTCTTAGGATTCACTGTAGCTTCTGCCTATCCCTCATACTTCAGCTGTGGCAGGCAACAATATGCATGTCCTCAGAGCAGCTTGCATATAGCTTATGGGAGCCAGGGTGGAGAAAAAAGACCCTGTCCTCCAAATATTGTGATCTGTGCTCAGATCACTGCTGTTCCTGACAACAGGTACAAAGAGGTAGGTGGCCATTGTTTCATTTCCTCTGTTACAAGCTACTTCCCCTCTAGCTGAATCAGTTTTTAAGGGATTTAATAGGCTGGTTCCACCCCTCTCCACTTCATTTGTCTTTTTGTTTGCTTTTTGGAGCCAGACATTCAAAAGCAACTACATATACAAGGGAAATTAGAAGATTAATATACGTGCTCAGGGGAAGGCACACACTCAGAAATGACCTGAGAAGACCTTAAGTTTATACAATTCATGCTGATCTTTGGCACAAGGGACAGCCTACGTCAATCAAAAAACTAAAACCAAACTTTGGGAATAATCTAATTTCCAGAGTTACTATGTTATTAAATTCAAATGTCCTATTTTAAATTTAAAAAATTAAAAGGAATACAATGAAACAACCAAGTATGGTCCATTCAAAGGAAAAAACATGATCCAACAGATACTTCCTTAAAAAAAAAACAAAAACAAAAAAACCAATGGTGGATTTACTAGACAAAGACTTTAAAACAACTGTCAAAGATGTGCAAAGAACCAAAGGAAGATGTGGAGAAAGTTGAGAAAATGATGTAAGAAAAACCAGAAATATCAGCAAAGAGGTAGGAAACCTAAAAAGAAGTCAGAAAGAGATTCTGGAGCTGCAAAGTATAGTAACTGGAATGAAATATTGACTAGAGAGATTCAAAGGTAGACTTGAGAGGTTCAATAGAGAGATTAAATAGGCAGAAAGTAGATTCAATGAACTTGAGGATAGGACCATGGGAAGTATTAGGTCTGAGGAACAGAAAGCAAAAAGATCAAGAAGTGACCAGAACCTAAGGGATCGATGGGATACCACCAACTGAACTAATAGTCATTGTGTGAGAAAGCAAGTGAAATGACATCCCCTATGGTCACACTGTTTGGGCAAGAGGAGGGAGCCTGCAAAAGTTTGAAAAAGTTTAGACTGGAGAGGTGCTGTGGAACTAGAATATTGCTGGTAAAAGCTAAAGTTATTTGCTTCATCACTAATGGTGTTTATGCCTATTGGTTTATTTTTTTGCCTTTCTTTTTAGTACATCATTTTTGCTAAGAATACTTTTTTCTTTTGCTTCCTACCACTACTTTAGAACTGTTAAACTGGCTTTCTTATGAAAGAATTTCTGGTAATTGACTTATGTTTTCAAGGTGGAAATAAAACAGTTGCGTTTGAAAGAATTTTCAAGAGGAACCTGAGTATTAGACATTTAACATATTTAAAAAATTTTGTTATATATACTCTTGTGTAATTATATACTTGCTTACCCCACCCCCAATGTTAAATTCTTTGTTTTTGGAACATATTGTGCAATATAATTTTAACCCATTCTGTGGTGTAAAGGCCAATAGGAACAGACTAATAGATGCACCTGATACCTTGGGTAAAATGAACTATTTATTAGGGTAGATAGGTAAACACAGCTCAACTCCTTGAACAACCACGTGAAAATTATAACTAATATGTAACAGCCATCACTCAGAACCATCAGAAATCGATTTGAATGGAAGTCTGACTACTATGAAATTAAGAAACCACATCCATCCAGACTGGTAGAGAAGGCAGATATGTGAAATGGGCTGGTCCCACATCCATGTGTGGTGGATAAAAATTTGGGAGGGATATCTCAGGGGCAAGGAGTACCAGCCCTATACCGAGCACTCCAGCCTAGGGTTCCAGTAGGAAGATAAGTCCCCATAACTTTTGGCTGCAAAGACCAGCAGGGATTGTTCAGTAGAAGAAACTTCTGGAGTCCCAAGCAGTTCCCCTTAAAAAACCCACATGTGGACTTACACAGACACACTCCCTCTGAGCTCCCACACACTGGGGTAGCAGCTTGAAAAGCACCAGTGGCATACAAAGAGGAACTGAAGTATCTGTCATCAAGGTGGGAGCTAGCGGAGAGTTTACTCCCAGCCAGAAAAGTGAGCAGCAGCCATTGTCACTTTTCTGAGCCTTCCCCACACAGAGCCGCAGAGCAAACAGTCAGGTGCCATATCTGAAGACTTGACCAACCTGGCTAACACTGTTTGCCCTTCCTTGGAGATCCCTGATACTCCATCCCTTTGAATGTACTGTTCCATCCAAACTGTTAACTGTCCCACCAAATTTACAGGCCCATCCAAACTGTTAACTGACTTTTCCATATGAATGCCTGGTCTTGGCTATTGCTTTACAACTTCCAAAATCCTATCAAATGAGCAAGAGCTAGGTGGCCCCAGGCCTGGAACTAGCAGCAGCCAGCCTAGATTCAAAGCTTGCCTTTCCCTTGGAATCTCCAGCCCAGCACAAGTAGCAGCTTGAAGGCTCAGAAAAGTGACAATGGCTGCTGCCCACCTTTCTGTCTGGGAGTAAGCTGTCTGCCAGCTCCCACCTCGATGACAGATACTTCAGTTCCTCCTTGTGTGCCACTGGTGCTTTTCAAGCTGCTACCCCAGTGGTGTGGAAGCTCAGAGGGAATGTGTCTGTGGTAGTCCACATGTGGGTTTTTTAAGGGGAACTGCTTGGGACTCTTTCTTCTACTGAACAATCCCCGCTGGTCTTCGCAGTCAGAAGTTTGCAGCACAAGTTACAGTCAGGTTGCTTTATAGCTCATGCAGGGTGGCCCTTGGCAGAACACAGGAGAGCGCTGACCTTGGCCTGTACAACCTGGGGAGCCCAGAGCCCCAGGTACATAGGTACCTAGTGGACAGCTACAGACCACATCAGAGTACCACCACCCTGCCCCCACAAAACAGATCCTTCACAGAGGGTGGAAATTGTCATTCAGTGGTCACAGTCAGTCCTTGGAGCTGACTGGCATATGCAGATCCCTCTCATTGACCTGCCGACAGCAATCAAGGCTCAACTACAAGAGGAGGGTGTACTCAGTGCACACAAAGGGCGCACTTCGAGTACCCTGCTTGGGTGGTAAGGGAGGCTGTGCCACTGAACCCTATAGGCCACCTATACATTAAGCCACACTACCAAGACATGGAGTCAAAGCAGCTCTACCTAATACATAGAAACAAACACAGGGAGGCTGCCAAAATGAGGAGGCAAAAATGGCACAAATGAAAGTAAAGACCAAATTCCAGAAAAAGAACTAAATAAAATGGAGATAAGCAATTTATTAGATGCACAGCATGAAACACTAGTTACTAGGATTCTCAAGGAACTTAGTGAGGATGTTAACAGCATAGAAAAGAAGAGTTAGAAATGAAGCAAACACTAATTTAAATAAAAAACAATTTACAGGAAAACAATTTACAGGGAAACAACAGTAGAATGGATGAAGCCAAGAATCAAATCAATGATTTAGAACATAAGAAAGCAAAAAACAACTATGCAGAACAAGAAGAAAAAGTAGTCCAAAAAAAACAAGGATAGCCTAAGTAGCCTCTGGGACAACTTCAAGTGTTCCAACATTTGCATGATAATGGGTGCCAGAAGGAAAAGAGAAAGAGGAAGAAATTCAAAATCTGGTTGACAAAATAATGAAAGAAAAATTCCCCTAATTTGGTGAAGAAAATAGACATGCAATTTCAAGAAGTACAGACAGACCCATACAAGGTGGATGCAAATATGCCTACACCAAGACACATCATAATTAAAATGCCAAAGGTTAAAGATAAAAAGAGAATTTAAAGAGCAGCAAGAGTAAAGCAGTTATTTATGTAGAGGGGTAGTCCCATAAGACCATCAGCTGATTTCTCAAAAGTAACTTTGCAGGCTATAAGGGATTGGCAAGAAATATTCATGGAAAAGTCATGAAAAGCAGGGACCTACAGCCAGGATTGCTCCACACAGCAAAGCTATCATTTAGAATTGAAGGGGAGATAAAGAGCTTCCCAAACAAGAAAAAACTAAAGGAGTTCATCATCACCAAACCATTATTATATAGAAGGTTAAAGGGACTTATTTTAGGGAAAAAAAAAAAAAAGATCCAAACTATGAAAAATAAAAAGGCACTGAACACATACATATCAACAATTGAATCTAAAAAACAAATTAAGCAAACAAGAAGAACAGAGACAAAGTCATGGACACGGAGTTCATTTTGTTGGTTGCCAGATGGGAGGGAAGTGTAGGGGGATTGAGAAAGAGCTGAGTGGATTAAGAAGTACAGATAGGTAGTTACAGAAATAAACATGGGGTTGTAAAGTACAGTATAGAAAATGGAGTAGCTGAAGAATTTACACGTATGACCCATGAACATAAAAATGGTGTGGAGATTGCCTGAGACAGTAGGAGGTGCTGGGTGGATTGGTGAATGGGAAAAAATTTAGACAATTGTAATACCATAATCAAAATATAATATAAAAAATGAAGTATTTACTAGGGTGATTGATTCTCCTGCATGTTTTTTGAGAGCTGTGTTTAATTCACATATAAAAGCAAGTTCTATGATCCTAATTTTAAAGATGAAGAAACTGAGTTAGCTAGAGGGTTGTAGAGCCAGGATTTGAAGGCAGACAGACTTCAGAACTTCTGTCTTGACTTATGTTCCTTCAAAGATTGCAGGTTTTGTGGCATATCATAGGCTAGACTTTGTAGAATACACAGTATATTTTCTATATAATGATTGAATTAAAATACCAATAATTTTTATATTCTTGGACTGTCTAGGAAAAAGACTTCGACCTGGTGGAGCACAGTAGCAGGTTGCCTCAGTGTGGGAAGTCCTATGTATTTCCGTTCAGGTGCTCAAGAATTTGGAGAACCAGGATGGTGGAAACTTGTTCACAACAAGCCCCCAACAATGAAACCTGAAGGAGAGAAGTTGTCTGCCTCTACCTTGAAAGTAAAAGGTACTGTTGTGAGCACAGTATAGAAGGTGCTAACCAGACCAAAGTCAAGCAAGTGTGAGCTTAGGAAACAATCCCATTTTTACCAGATATACCTCATCTGCCTCCTGAGTAACTCTGCTTGGCAATTTATTGTGACACTTTTTTTGGTATACCATAAATAATAATTTCATTAAAATATTTGATAATTTCAATCAAGTTACCAGTTTGTAAAATTTCCTTTGATATCTGGAAGGTGCTCTATTTTAATCTGATTTTGTTTTAAACTTCTCTCTCTCTCTTTTAAATTGTTGTTCAAATATAGTTGTCTCCATTTTACACCCACCACTCTCCCCCCACCCGAGCCATCACCTCCTCCCACCCTCCATCCTACAGTCCTTTGGCTTTGTCCAAGTGTCCTTGTACACGTCCCTTGACGACCCTACCCCCTTTTCCCCTCTTTATCCTCTCCCACCTCCCCTCTGGTTACTGTCAGTTTGTTTTTTATTTCAGTGTCTCTGGTTGTATTTTGCTTGCTTGTTTGCTTTGCTGATTAGCTTCCACTTATAGGTGAGAACATAGGATATTTGTCTTTCACCGCCTGGCTTATTACAGTTAGCATAATGCTCTCCAGATCCATCCATGCTGTCATAAAGGGTAGGAGCTCCTTCTTTCTTTCTGCTGTGTAGTATTCCATTGTGTAAATGTACCATAGTGTTTTGATCCACTCATTTACTGAACACTTAGGTTGCTTACAACACTTGGCTATTGTAAATTGTGCTGCTATGAACATTGGGGTTCATAGATTCTTTGGAACTGGTGTTTCAGGATTCTTAGGGTATAATCCCAGCAGTGGAATTGCCAGGTCAAAAGGCAGTTCCACTTTTAGTTTTTTGAGGAAATTCCATAGTTTTTCACAGTGACTGCACCAGTCTGCATTCCCACCAACAGTATACTAGGGTTCCCTTTTCTCCACACCCTCGCCACAAATTGTGGTTTGTTGATTTGGTTATGATGGTCATTCTGACCAGTGTGAAGTAGTATTGGGGTTTTAAATTTGCATCTCTCTGATGGCCAGTGATGCTGAGCAGCCTTTCATACATTTCTGGACCCTCTGAATGTCCTCCTTGGAGAAGTGTCTTTCAGGTTTTTTGCCCATGTTTTATTATATCTTAAAATATATTTTATTGATTATGTTATTACAGTTGTTCCATTTTCCCTCCTTTAATCCCCTCTGCCCTGCCCTCCCCAACCTGCATTTGCACCTCTTAGTTCATGTCCATGGTTTGTACATATAAGTCCTTTTGTTTCTGCATTTCCTATACTATTAATCTCCCCCTGTCTATTTTGTACCTACCATTTATGCTTCTTATTCCATGTACCTTTGCCCTCATTCCTCCCTCTCTCTACCCACTGATAACACTCCATGTGATCTCCATTTCTATGATTCTGTTCCTGTTCTAGTTGTTTGTTTAGTTTGTTTATGTTTTTGTTTTTTAGGTTTAGGTGTGACTTTATTATTCATAGTTTTGATCTTCTTCTTTTCCTTAGATAAGTCCCTTTAACATTTCATGTAATAAGGGCTTGGTGATGATGAACTCCTTTGACTTGACCTTATCTGGGAAGCACTTTATCTGCCCTTCCATTCTAAATGATAGCTTTGCTGGATAGAGTAATTTTGGATGTAGGTCTTTGCCTTTCATGACTTTGAATACTATTTCCAGCCCCTTCTTGCCTGCAGGGTATCTTTGGGGAAGTCAGCTAATTGTCTTATGGGAACTCCTTTGAATGTAATTGTCTTCTTTTCTCTTCTTGCTTTTAAGATTCTCTCATTATCTTTAATCTTGGGTAATGTAATTATGATGTGCCTTGGTGTGTGCTTCCTTGCGTCCAAGTTCTTTGGGACTTTCCGAACTTCCTGGACTTCCTTGAAGTCTATTTCCTTCACCAGATTGGGGGACTTTTCCTTCACTATTTGTTCAACTAAGTTTTCCATTTCTTGCTCTTCCTTTTCTCCTTCTGGCACCCCTGTGATTCAAATGTTGGAATGTTCAGAGTTATCCCAGAGGTTCCTAAGTGTCTCTTCATTTTTTTGAATTCTTGTTTCTTCATTCTGTTCTGGTTTAATGTTTATTCTTCCTTTTGTTCCAAATCATTGATTTGAGTCCTGGTTTCCTTCCTGTCACTGTTGCTTCCTTGTGTAATTTCCTTTATTTCACTTTGCATAGCCTTCACTCTTTCCTCTATTTTGTGACTATACTCAACCATTTCTGTGAGCATCCTGATTACCAGTGTTTTAAAACCTGCATCTGATAGGTTGGCTATCTCTTCATTGCTTAGTTGTATTTTTTTCTGAACTTTGATTTGGTCTTTTATTTGGGCCATTTTTTTCCCCAGCACACCTGTTAAGTAGCAAGGGGCCAAGCCTTATGTATTCTTCAGGGTGGGGCAACCCATATCACTGCATTGTGGTGCTGTATGTGGGTCCTAAAGGGAACAATGCTGCTTGCTGGGCTCTCTGCCAGCTTTTAGTCACTTCCCCAACTGCTCACAAGCAAATCGTGCGTGGGTTTGTGTGCATTCTAGGACATTATGGGTCTCTCCAATGAAATCAATCTCCTCTGAGTCTGGGAGTTTCTTCTGGTGCCTCAACCCCCACAGGTTGTTTCAGTCAGAAGTTTTGAGGCTTCATTTCCCCACATGAGAACTCGGGGTTGTGTGGTTTGTCTCACTCCCCAGTTGTTCCTCTTGGTTTACCCACATGCAAATGTAGGATCATCTGCTCTGCCAGCCGCTGCTTTAACTTCCCCCAACACCTCTCCACCCCTGGTCCTTCAGCTGCCACCTTGCCACATGTCCTCTCCACTCCTGCAGCCCATCTGCACTGCTGCTACTGGTCTGGATGAATGTTTCTTCTTTAACTCCTTGGTTGGTAGACTTGCATAGAGTTTGATTTTCTGGCAGTTATGGTTGTTTCTTTTTAAATTTGTTGTTGTCCTTCTTTTGGTTGTACGAGGAAGCACAGTGTACCTACCTATGCCTTCTTCTTGGCCAGAAGTCCTCCTTTGCCCATTTTTTAATTCGATTATTTGTCTTCTCAGTGTGGAGTTGTATGAGTTCCTTATATATTTTGGAGATCAAATCCCTGTCTGATATATCATTGGCAAATATATTTTCCCATACAGTTGGTTCCCTTTTCATTTTGCTGATATTTTCTTTAGCTGTGCAAGAGCTTGTAATTTTGATGAAGTCCCATTTGCTAATTCTTCTCTTTATGTCCCTTACTCTAGGGGACATATCTGAAAATATTGCTGGGTGGAATATCTGAGATTTTCCTCCCCATGTTCTCCTCTAGGACTTTTATAGTGTTGCGACTTATATTTAAGTCTTTTATTCATCTTGAGTTTATTTATATATATATAGCAAGTTGGTGGTCAAGTTTCATTTTTTTGCATGTACCTGTCCAGATCTCCCAACACCATTTGTTGAAGAGGCTATTTTTACTCCATTTTATGCTTCTGCCCCCTTTGTCAAATATTAACTGACAGTAGAGACTTGGGTTTATTTCTGGGCTCTCTGTTCTGTTCCATTGGTCTGTATTTGTGTTCTTGTGACAGTATCAGACTGTTTTGATTATAGTGGCCTCGTAATATAGTTTGATGTCAGATATTGTGATCCTTCCTATTTTGTTCTTCTTTCTCAAAATTACTGCAGCTATTCAGAGTCATTTATGGTTCCACATAAATTTTTGAAGTGTTTGTTCTATATTTGTGAAATATGTCATTGGTACTTTAATAGGGATTGTGTTCAATCTATACATTGCTTTGGGTAGTATGGACATTTTGAGGATATTAAGTCTTCCAACTGTGAATACAGTATATACTTCTGTTTGTTTATATGTCGTCCTTAATTTCTTTCTTCAGTGTTGTGTACTTTTCTGAGTACAAGTCTTTACTTCCTTGGTTAGGTTTATTCCAAGGTACTTTATTTTTCTTGTTGCTATATCAAATGGGATTTTTTATCTGACTTCTCTTTCTAATATTTCATTGCTGGTATACAGAAATGCCTTTGATTTCTGATTATTGACTTTGTATTCCACTCTTGCCAAATTCACTTATTAGGTTGAGTAGATTTTTGGTGGAGTCTACAGGATTTTCTATGAACACTATTATGTCATTTGCAAACAATGACAGTTTTGCTTCCTCCTTTCCAATTTGATTGTCTTTTATTTCTCTTATTTGATTTCTGTGGCTAGGACTTCCAATACTATGTTGAATGAAAGTGGTGAAAGCAGACATCACTTGTCTTGTTCCTAATCTTAGTGGGAAAGCTTTTAGCTTTTGCCCATTAAGTATGTTGTTGGCTGTAGGTTTCTCATACATGACCTTTACTATATTGAGGTATGCTCCCTTTACTCCCACTTTGCTGAGTGTTTTTATTGTAAATGAGTACTGTATCTTATCAAATGCTTTTTCTGCATCTATTGATATGATCATGTGATTTTGTTTATGTGATGTATTACATTTGTTCATGTGTGAATGTTGTACCATCCTTGCATCCCTAGGATGAATCCCACTTGATCATGGTGTATGATCTTTTTATTGTATTGTTGGATGCAGTTTGCCAATATTTGGTTGAGGATTTTAGCATCTCTGTTTATCAGCCATATTGGCCTGTAGTTTTCTTTCTTTGTTGTGTCTTCATTTGGTCTTGGCATTAGAATGATGCTGGCTTTGTAAAAATGTTTAGGAGTCTTCCCTCTATTGGGATTTTTTAAAAATATTCTGTGAAGGATAGGGGTTAGCTCTTCCTTATATGCTTTGTAAAATTCTCCTGTGAAATGGTCCAGTCCAGGTCTTTTGAGTACCTGGAGTTTTTTGATTACTGGTTTGATTTCTCCAACTGTTACCAATTTGTTCAGGTGTTCTGCTTCTTCTTTATGCAGTTTTAGAAGATTACATTTTTCTAGAGATTTTCCATTTCACCCTGGCATTCAAATTTCTTGGCATATAGTTACTCGTATT